GAACTTACACCGCACCGCAACAGAGAGAAAATATACTCAAAAGGGCTAAAGAGTGGCTTCGCTTGGCCGAAAGTGGTGAACTGCCGAATTTGGTTTTCTCCGATGACATTTGTTGTCCAGCGGTTTGTAAACAAACAAAATGATCGTGTTTACTTGCCAAAGAGGTCAGCTGAAAATGTGCACCAACATTCGGGCAGCGTGTGACGGTTTCATGGCCGTTAGAAGGCCAATGTAAACTTATCCTAAAATTGTTGCTTTTCCGGCATTTTTTCTTTTATAGAATAAAATTTAAAAAAATCTAAAAATTATGGCGTTTGACTTTGCAGTTTTTTTTATCTCATCCTGTATATCGTATAGCTCACCTACAACGGTATAATATTGGATATTTTAACGATTTTAGGGACATTATTCACCGGAGTTGCTTCAAGGACCACGTCTTTGTATAGGCCCCATAGATCAGTACCTCCCTATATTCGGTATTTTGACGATTTAAGGGACAATATTCACAGAAATTTTTGGAAATTTCGTATTAAAATTTCCTAATAGGTACTACAGCATGTGACAAAAAATTGTCTATGTAGGTCCATCTCCTCGTATAGCCCCGATATAACGGCGATTTTGCTACATTATTCACCCGATTTTTTTTCTAATTTTCTATTTGAATATTCTAATGGCTTATGACAAGACCCAAATATAACGGCTATATTGGGTATTTTTAAGATTTTTACAGAATTTTTAACGGATTTTATTTTTTTGAAAATTTCCAAAATCGTTCCAAATGGTGGAGGTTAGGTAAATGGAGTCATAAAAACTATTATACGTAGATGTTTATTCTGAGATTTTTTAGTAAGATTTTGTGTAGACTATTTTGCCTTTTGACACCTTTCGCCTGAAACGAAATTTTATGTTAATTTCAGGCATCAACTACAATAAAGGTCGATGGAAAAAATTGATCAAAAAAATCAAAAAAAAATGGGGAATAGTAACATGTTTGTCGTTGAGTCATCCTTCTAAAATGAGTTTTTATGTTAGATTTTTGCTCTAGGTCGAAATCGGTTGAGTTTTACTCTTTGTACAAAATCGAACGAGTTTTTCGGAGGTCTGCAACTTTTAATACGCCGATACACGTGTCTACTTTAGTTCTACTTGCACAGCGTTATGTTTTATCTGGAATGCGTTTTAAATTCTGATGCCCCTAAGCTAAGATTTGTAAGTAGTATTAAGTAGGTCCAAACTCAAACTTTAAAATGCAAAATAGACTTTTTTGTGATATGACACTCTTTGAAATTGAGTTTCTTGTTCGACCTTCTTTTTAAGTTCTCGTCTTAATATATTTTGTAATATTTGTTCTTAAACTTAATTGAAGTAAACTAGATGCTAGAGACTTTAGATTTTTATCGTTGAAAACAATTTTGTTAAACATTTAAACGGTTAATTTCGGACCGTTAATAAGGTTAATAACAGCACAAACAATGGCTGATGTGGCCTCTACGAATATTTCGATACTTATTTGTCATGACACTCTTAGTTTTTTTCTACCATTTGTTTTTGTTCTTGCATCCGGTCCTTGGGAATTTTTCTCATCATTGAATCATTTGCACCAAAAAGAAAAAAAGACCAACTTTGACTTTGTAACCGCAGCCCAGATTTCATGCTTTATTTCCATATTAATTTAGCTGGAATAATTCGTCTGTACTTCTATGGGGAAAAGAAACTGAAAACTGCTCAATATTATTTCACGCATTATTATTAGATGCAGCATTTGCTGCTACCGTTGCAGGCCGGCCACCAGCAGATACATCAAAGCAATCATTTGTTGTTGGCAACAGAAAAATCACAGCATAATCTAATGTCGTTTTTTTTTCAATGCATAGTAAAATGATGCCAAGTCTATGAACCGAAACAAAGTGAATAATTTTGGGAAGGAATTTGAAAAATGGTCTTAAAGCTTGATGAAGTAAAAAATCGGTCAGCAGCCAGTGTAAACTGTATTTTGCTGAAGGTTATCAGTTGTTGCCAAAATAACTATTAAACATTAGTATTAGTTTGTCGAGCAAGTGGCCAAAGCCAAGAAAATGAGCCATTTTTTAGTTGGATCATTAGGCAGGACCACAATTAAACTGGCAGATATGTTGAAAGACAGACATCTCACTTATGAAAAAAAAAAACACATGAATAAATAATTCCAACATAATTGTCTCTTTTAAATATTTGTATTTACTCAGAATCAATAAAATATTCAACAAATGTTTAATATATTTCAAACGACACTCCTCTTTCCAAAAACAAAACTTAGAGGAAGCTGTATTTGATTACTGGCTGTGAATATTGTAAAACATAATTGTTTCAAACGAACAACAACAACCGGGTATTATTTTTCAATGTTAAATCGAGGAGGGCGGGTATTGGTGTTGGAATTGATAACTGTTTTCATCGAAACAATTATTTGATTTTGTGTCAAAATATCGATTCTATTTTCAGTTTTCACTTTTGTTTGATTTGTTTCCCTGCTATAAATAAAACTATAAAAACAATTTACTGAAAGTTGCATTAACCTCACTTCATTCATAGCAATGGAGGTCATCAGAATATCTAACAATTTTATTATATTGAAATTGGATATTTGAATAACATTAATAAATAGAATTGTTATTTATATGAGAAAAAAACTGCAACAAAATCAAAAATCATAATTTTTAGATTTTTTTTTTAATTTTATTGAATGAAAACAAAAACCGTCGGAAATAGCATCAAGTTTTAGAATAAGATTAGATTTGTTCGAATTGGTCACCTTTGGCACGAATTATGGCCTTCACACGCTGCCCGAATGTTGCTCTGCGGTATTTTGGCCCATTCCCTGCGAAGCGATGGCTTGAGGTGATCGACACTTTGCTATATTATAGTGCCAACAGTGCTTTCCAAAATACTCCAGACACAATAATGCAAAGGATTGGTATCCGGAGATTTTGGTGACCATTGTGCAGCTGGAAATGGAGCGAGGAACCCCATTTTGTAACCATTCTTGGGTGACGCGTTCTGAGTGCGATGGTGTTAAGTCCTGTTGGAATGTCCAAGGCCAAAACGTTTGCGTGCCCAAGGCTTTAATACACCCTCCAGAATATTTTCGCGATAATATTCGGCATTTATTCTGATGTCACGGTCAATTAATACGAGCGGAGAGTAACCATCGGCTGTTATGGCGGCCCACACCATCATCATGGCCGGCGCTTGAGTTCTGATGGCCAACCGAAGGTGTACATTTTCAGCTGACCTCTTTGGCAAGTAAACACGATCATTTTGTTTGTTTACAAACTTCTGGACAACGAATGTTTTCTCATCGGAGAAACCCAAATTCGACAGTTCATCACTTCCGGCCAAGCGAAGCATCTCTTTAGCTCTTTTGAGTCTATTTTCTTTCGTTTGCGGTGTAAGTTCTTACACTTTTTTGGAATTTTAATGGCTTTACCCCGAGCTCATTTTTCAATATTTGCCAAATTGAATGTTGCGATATGTTCAGCTCATGAGCCATTTTTCGGCCACTGCGGCGCGGATTTCTATCAAGTCGCTTCTATACATTTCGAACCGATGTTGCTATTCTGGTGTTTTCTTCCGTCCAATTCCCTGACGTCGGGCTACGCTACCAGTATCACGGTAATGAGCAATGGTACGAGATACAAACGATTTATTCACATTTAAATGCTGGAGTGCTCTAACGATTGCCATTTGTGGTTTTGCAGCCAAATATAAAGAAATCACACTATCACACTTGAATTCCATCACGAATAACTTCTTTTTGGAAAATTCTCACCAAAATGCTTTTGTACGCTTTTAAACAATATAATGAGCTGTCACTGGAATAATTTAAACAGCTGTCGTACGAGTGGCCTGGAAATGTCTCACCCTGTATTTTTATTAACCCAAGGTCTGTCATAGAGATGGAATATATCGCTCCACTCTTTCTGGTACCTCCAACAACATTTTGAGTATCCATGAAGCTCATAAAACGGGAAATCGATATTTCCATCAACACAAGATCTGTTATAAAGACGATAGAGATTTGACCATTCCTTCTGGTACCTCCCCAACAAAGGATCAATGTTTTGAATAACTAAAACGATTATAAAATCCGAAATAAGCATCCGGTACTCTTCATATTTCACTCATCCCATTATGTCTACTAGCACAAAATCTGTTGTGAAGGTGGAATATATCGATCCACTCTTTCTGGTATCTCCCCCAAAAAGGGTCAACCTTTTGAATATCCATGAAGCTCATAAAACGCGAAATCAACATCCGATTCCATTTTGACTTAACACATCTCAATATTTCTATCAACACAAGATCTGTTGTAAAGATGTTACAGATCGGACCATTTCTTTTGGTAACTCCCTCTCACAGGGTTCAAGATTTTTGAAAAACAAAACGCTTAAAGAAATCGAAATGATCATCCAACTATCCTCAAATTTTTGCTAACGCAAGATCTGTTGCGAAAATTATATAATTCTGCCAACCCCTTTTGGTACCTCACCCACAAAGGCTCACAATTTCCAATTTTTATATCCAATACTGAATATACAGTAATATTTGTATCCGTCTGTCAGATACGAATTGGTCAATATTGGCCAACTTCTCCAGAATAATAATTTGAATAATCATAACTCAAGGCTGGGGGTATACATCTGTCGGCAAAACCGACTGATACTATTTTACTTGTTCGATACAAAAAAACAGGATACTGAGACATTTTCCCAAGGTTGCTCATATAAAAATACTAAGAAATAGAATCATTGTCTTTTTATCTGTGGATTATTTTCCACAAAATTGGAAGTGTATTCCAAAAAGGTACTCGCTTTCATTTCATGTCTATGAATTTCCTTTCTCCTAAGAAGCGATCATATCTATAAACCCGTCTAATACAAACATTACTTTATAATTATTATTTCTAAATGTTTACAAACACAACAATGTGATTAATTATATATTTTTTCACTTCATTTCAGATCTTCTCCATCAGACATTACTACATTCAGAACAAACATTCTGTATTAGATTTGCAAATAAAAGACAAACTTTCAAAACATCTGGCAATTGAAAAAATCAAAAATCTTGAAAAAATTCCACCACAACCGCAGCCAACACCCGCACAACAAACAAATCGAGCCCAACACGCTGACAAAAGGAAATCTTTTGAATGCCGCAGTTTCTGCACGCCATCGTCAACTTAGTATGAGAGAAAAAGATCATTCTCCAAGAAAAATGCTTCCTAGCCCCAAACAAGGGTCGGTCTACCCGATTTTAGGCTCCATGCCCTACAACAGCAACAATTTCAACTCGAATGTACCTTATGATCTGTCATCGCCTGCACGCAGCAATAGCTCGACGGCGGCCACAGCCCTTACCACCGCCCTAACAGCATTGTATCAAACTCAAAAAGATCTTAAGAAGGAGAGAAGGCGTGGCCATGCGGATCAACCCTTGGATTTGAGATTGGCCCATAAAAAGCATGATGGTGGCACGGCAGGTGATGGCGGGACAGATGGGGACTCCAACACCACTGAAATGATGGAGGATGAAAATAGCAACCTGGTAATGATAACTAGCGGACAATTGGACAAGTCATGTCACAACTCCGAATGCAACAGCAATACCAACACCAATTCTCGGGTCCTGCAAGATGGTGTGGCTGGCGATAAGACAGCCGATCTTCATTTGTTGAATGAATTGAATAATAACAACAACAATTTCCTGCTGCAAAACAATCAAGCTCTGCAAGAACAGTTCGAAGCTCTGAACAGCAAAAAGATGCTGAGGGTGTTGAGGGACCAAGCCAAATCGTTGCCAACAAATCTGGAACAACTGCCATTTCCCGTAACGGCCCTACATCCCACTCTACTCGAGACCATAGCCAAAGCAATGCCTCCTCTGCCCTACCGAAATCTCTTCTTTTTGCCTCGACCGAATCAGGCCAATAATCCAGCTGCAAATGTAACAAATTTCCCGTTTTTCTCCTCGCCACCGGCCGGTTGTCTAGGTAAGGATACGAAAAAGAATACCACAACTGTAACGGCAACGACCACAACGCCACCCATAGCCACAGCAGATTCTAGCATGACAGATCTTAAATTTGATGTTGCCGCTGCCAGCGCCAATAGAAATACCCTTACCGAAAGCCTGGCCAACTCGTTGCTGCTCAGTCAAAATGGACCCACGCCCACCACCACCCCAAGCACCGGTGCCTCCGGTGCCCCACACTATCGCCAAAAGAGACCTGCGGTTAATCGTTCCAATGCTCCAGCCGGGGCCAATCATCTGTACAAATCAAAGGACCGTTATACGTGTAAATTTTGCGGCAAAGTATTTCCCAGATCGGCGAATTTAACCCGCCATCTGCGAACTCACACGGGCGAACAGCCCTACAAATGCAAATACTGTGAACGTTCCTTTAGCATATCGTCGAACCTGCAACGACATGTGCGCAATATTCACAACAAGGAGAGACCCTTCAAATGTGAAATTTGTGAACGCTGCTTTGGCCAACAAACCAATCTCGATCGTCATCTGAAGAAACATGAAGCCGATGCCGTGTCAATGGGTCTGGGTCTCAACGAACGCATACGTGGTGGTCTACGTCGTTTCTGTGAAAATCCTGCCGAGGAATCTTATTTCGAAGAGATACGCTCATTTATGGGTAAAGTCACTCAGTTGCCGTTGAATTCAGCTGGCGCTGCGGCGGGAGCTTCCAAGTTGTCACTGATGGATCATAGTACAACACCGCACTCTGAACCTCATTCGCCGGGTCGAAGTTCATCGTATGCCCCCTCTGATCCCGACTCAACGGCCAGTGGTCTGCGTATTATCATTAAGGATGAGCACAGTAATCATAGTAATCAATCGAATGAGCAACAACAACAACAACAGCAAGGTAATGATCCACAACAACACCAGCAATCTGGGCCTGGTGGATCGGCACCATCCACACCGCCTCCTAGGAACGATGGCCACCGAAGTAATCAGGGCTCCCCGTCTACAGTATCGAATATTCAAACAAATAAACTAAGTCCTTTTGAATCATCGCCCAGTAGAGAGTGTTCGGCAACAACCTAACATTGAATGAAAATCCGTTGGTTAATAGATTCTTAGAAAGGGTATTGTTTCTTCACGATTTTTTCCATTGCTGGGAAAAATAATCCTTACAAAAATATAAACATTTGGTCTGAAAGCAAATGCTTCCAAAATAATCCAAATTGGTGTCTCCTTCCAATTTTTACACAAAAGTACATGTTGATAACCCAGCAATGAAATATCTGACTCTGAAATAAAGATCCCCAACTCACAAACAGAGCATTCGTTCACCGTGTTTAAGTGTCTTCTTACTATGTCCTATTTTCTAAAACAATTAATTTATGTAAATATAATTTGTTTCAATTCCTCTCTTGCGAAGAAAAACTCATACTTATGTACATTGCAACAATACACGCAAGAGTTAATGATTTCTAATGAACTAATTTAAACATCATATCGTTTGTAAACTATTTACAATTCGAATCCTTCTATTTAAATGTTACTCTCATTATTTACGTTTACGATTTATTGTAAATATATATACGTTTAATAAAATCTTTAAGCATTCCTTCAAAATGTATTTGTGTAAGTTCTACAAGTTGTTCATAGAGTAGTTAGCTTGTCATTTCATAAAATAAGATAAATTCCCAATGTATGTAACTTTGTAAAAAAAATTATTAAAATAACAAAAAGAAAAAGCATTTTGTATGATAAAGAGATAAGAGCAGAACAGCAATTAGAAACGTATTTCAATTGTACAACAATATATGTATTTTTGTCTTTTGTTTAATTAAGAATTAGGTAAAATGTTTTATTATTGAGAATTTATGTTTTATTTCTTAAATAAATGTTTTTGCAAAAATTAAAATGATTCATTTTATTTGCATTTGGATTGATGGGGATTTAGGCTGGATGTGCGACAAGTAGGTCGGAACTAAGAGGGGAAAAGGAAAGTTACAAAATGCAACATTCATAAGCTACATAAGAATATATCAACAAGTAAAATAGTATCAGTCGGGTTTGTCGACAGATGTATACCCCCAACCTTGAGTTATGATTATTCAAACTGTTGATTCTTTATGAGGGAGGTTCCGAAGCAGTTGGACAATATTGCATAATTCGTATCTGACCCAAGACTGGTAAAAATATTACAGCGTCCCAGATTTGGACTATATCGACTCCATCCTAAACTTAATATGAGATATGTGCCCATTTTTGGGAAATGTGGAAATACAGGGTTAGATGAAAAAAACTGCAATCAACTTCAGACTGCTGTCATTTCTAAGCCACTCGTCCGACAACTGTTAAAATTATTCCAGTGACAGCTCATTATATTGTTTACATTCGTACAAAAGCATTTTGGTGAGAATTTGCCAGAAAAAAAAGTCATTCGTGATGGAATTCAAGCGTGATAGTGTGATTTCTTTATATTTTGTTGGAAACCCACAAGTGGCTATCGTTAGAGCACTCCAGCATTTAAATATGAAAAGTGGACGAAAGAAAACAGCAACACCAGCAGATATGGTTCGAAAAGTAAAGAAGCGACTTGATCGAAACCCGCGTCGCAGTGGCCGAAAAATGGCTCATGAGCTGAACATATCGCAATATTCCATTCGGCAAATATTGAAAAATGAGCTCGGGGTAAAGCCATTGAAATTCCAAAAAGTGCAAGAACAAACACCGCAACAGAAAGAAAATAGACTCAAAAGAGCTAAAGAGTTGATTTGCTTGGCCGAAAGTGGTGAACTGCCGAATTTGGTTTTATCCGATGAGAAAACATTCGTTGTCCAGCGGTTTGTAAACAATCAAAATGATCGTGTTTACTTGCCAAAGAGGTCAGCTGAAAATGTCCACCTTCGGTTAGCCACCAGAATTCAAGTGCCCATCACCATGGCGATGGTGTGGGCCGCCATAACAGCCGATGGTCGCTCTTCGCTCGTATTAATCGACCGTGGCATTAGAATAAATGCCGAATATTATCGCGAAAATATTCTGGAGGGTGTATTAAAACCTTGGGCTCGCAAACATTTTGGCCGCAGACCTTGGGCATTCCAACAGGACTCAGCACCATCGCACTTAGCACGCGCCACCCAAGAATGGTTACAAATTGAGGTTTCTCTCACACAATGGCCACCAAAATCTACGGATACCAATCCGTTGGACTATTGTGGCTGGAGTATTTCGGAAAGCAAGGTTGGCACTAAAAAATACCAAAATGTCGATCGCCCCAAGCAAGCGCTTCGCCGGGAATGGGCCAAAAAAAATACCGCAGAGCAACATTCGGACAGCGTGTGACGGTTTTATTGGCCGTTTGAAGGCCATAATTCGTGCCAAGGTGACCAATTCAAACAAATCTAAACTTATTCTAAAATTTTATTTTTTTTTTAATTTTTTGCTTTCAATCAATAAAATTTAAAAAAAATGTAAAAATTATGGCGTTTGACTTTGTTGCATTTTTTTATCTCACCCTGTACAAACTGTGTATACGTTTTGACAGAACATGGACACTTAAAGCATGAGTGAGAGCATGAGGTAACTTTATTCATCCCCTCGTTATTGTACCGTTGTCCCACGTCCACATATGTAACTATACGTCTCCACTTCTATAAATGAAAATACATTTCTAAAGTTTCCTACCACATTGACAACTTAAAAATAAAAATTATTCGAAATATAAAAACATTGATTCTTAAATGGATATAAAGACGTTACTTTTAAAGGGATTATCTTCGCAGAAACCCATTAGGGCATGCCATCGTCTTTTAATCGAGAACAAAGGGTATGTAACAAATATTATAGATATTGGTTTGAACAACTTCATCACACTTCGCTAATATTTCAGCTATACAATAAACTTTCAATTGAGCGGAAAATATTTGAAAATAACAAGGATAAAACGTATTACACAAAAACGCAAAACATTAAAACAAAGGATCAGATGGAGGCAAAAATTCCACCAACGATATCGAAACAAAGTGAAATCCTATTTGACACGAAAACTAAATGAAGACTTGCTAAAGGAATTGACTGATGCAAACAAAATTCGAAAAATAGTACTGCAACGGAGCAAAATTGAGAAAATCGACATAGCGGAGACGGTAAAAATATGCAGGGGCACAGAAACCAATATTCATAATACAAAAGCCAGCATTGGAATACAAACTGCAACCCGAAAACAACAAGTCAAAATGGTAAGCAATTCCACTGAAACAGAAAGGACAATCTGTAGAACATTTGGACAGCAAACTTTAATGTATAATAAGCGCAAATCCAGCTCTGGGCCAAAACCTTTTCCTCCACTACGATATTTCGTATCAACTGGTACCCAAACTGAGTTGCAGACCACAACATGTGGCGTTCAATGCAAATATCGGACGGTATCCGTTGCTATTCAATCTGATCAGTTGGCTACTGCAGCTGCAGGTATCCAAGTTTATAGCAATAACCATGAGTTCAACAAATCCCCAGATGTTCCTATCCAAAATTGTAGCGGGAAATTACCGGAACAGGAAATAATGATTTACATGTTAAATGAAATAGGAGAACTTGTAATAAATCAAAACGCATTACTAATTAATAATTCCAAATTATTAAATCAGATAAGTGAACGGGCAACACTTCACAGGAATTTAGATAAAAGGTGTATTATAAGGTATGTATAGAGGATATGATAAATAGGCTATTGCTACCTAAATATGTACGAATATATTCACAGAACGAATGGTATTTTGAAACGAAATAAAACTACGGCAAAATGTTTGATACGAAAACGAAGCAAGTATGTGATTGGCAAAGAAAGGGAACAACTTGATTTGAGGTAAAAATTATACTCCTATTCCAAGATGCTTTAAAAAAAAATAATATTACTCTTATCATTAGCTCAAAGTCAACACAAACTGATAAAAGGCAAATTGCCTCCAATTCGGTAGACAATTGTACCCAAACTTCAATGGATACATATCTAAAAAAATCATGGTTTGGTAGAAAAGCAAATAAACTCAATTGAAATTTCTCAGCTCAACTGTTTAGATGAAAAAATCAAATGCATCAACCAATTATTTCACTTACCTTCCCAGATGTCTTGATGTCTTGTATTCTGATTGGAAAGTAATGCGCCCAAATGAAAATGTTGATTGATGTTTTAATGTCTTGATTTTAAAATGTTGCATGTGTTGATTGAAGATAAATATTGAAATGATGATTTGGTGCCATTGGAATGTGTGATTGACTTATAAATAATATTAAAACGCTCGTATGTTCTTTCTTTTGTTTGTGGGTTTACTATTTTTTTTCTCTTCTTTCTCCTTGTGAATTCATTATAATTTGCTTTTATAATTTGGCTTGTTGTTGTATTTGTTGTTTGTTTGTTATTCTTAGTAAGTATCAGTAAGTTTAGAATGTTTTCATTCTCTGCTTCTTAATATTGAGTAAATTTTAAAAAATTAAATTTAACTACACAATTAACAAAATAAAGTCGACAGCAGACACGGCACACATACGTCGTAAACACGCTCACTAACATTCATCATTCTCAGACTCGCTCTCTTAGGCTTAATGCATTTTTAACGGAAATGTTTTATGTGGGGGCTTTATTTCCTCTAATGTGGAAGGGAGTTCAAGAACAAATCATACCAGCGATTTACCACCCCCGCCACCTCCCCCACTGGATTTTGATTTGTTGCCACCTTTTTTGGATGAAGAATTATAGGACTTGTCGGAACCGGAACTTATGTTACCTGTAAAGTCAAATAAATTAATGTATGTATGATGTTGAATTTAACAAATTTATTTACCTTTGTGACCTGAAGAGGATTTCTTAGAATTATTATATGGATGTCTACTGCCACCCTTGTCGCTGTCATAGCCAGCCCGTCTTCTCGATTCCCGAGGACTGGGTGGTGGACTGAAGTCGGTTTCTGTGTCATAGGTGGACATAAGATCACGTTCTGTGCCATAATTATAGCGGCTATCTGTGGGTGAGAGTGAACGATATGTTCGTGGTGGTGGTGAGTATGTGTGATGACGATGCCACGAATTGTTGCTTTCGTAATCCAGATAGTCATCATAGTCGAGTAGACTTGAGCGTTGTGGAGGCGGCGGTGACATGATACGTCCCAATGGTGCTGGACGCATCTCACCTGGTGGCACGAAAGGAGGTGGGGGCGGCATTCCCATGAATGGTGGAGGTGGTCCCATGAATGGTGGCGGTAGGAATGGTGGTGGTGGCATTCTGCCTAACATGGGGGAGCCCGGAGACTCCATGTGTATGGGAGAGGGGGCATTTGCTAAATCATCACCCAGGCCTGCAGGACCAGCTGAAGGTTCTAGAATGAAAAACGAATTCAAACGAATAAATATACATAATTGTTTGCCATTTACTTACTATTGGCTTCATTAACATTGCCACCAGCTAATGCTGTCAATTTCCTGCGTAAAGCTGTGGCTTCTGCCCTAGCTTCTTCGTACCGTCTATCCGATTGGCGGGCTGCCAACCATGTCTCGTGGGCACGATTTTCAAGCGTACCCGTTTGGGCCTTGTGCGCTGCAACTTGAGCTTCAATTTCAGCACGCAAGGCATCATTTTGAGATCTATTTAAAGTAAAAAATTTTTCACATATTTTCATTTCAGATATTAAAATAAAGCATACTTCAATGATTGTATTTCCTCTTGCATGGCCGTTAAACGTTCCACAGTTGTACTAGTTTCACCTTGCTGCTGCAACCACATGGTTTCTTTTAGGCTCAGTTCTCTAAAATGGTTAAAAATATGTTTATTGTTAAATAATAATAAACACGATAGAGTTTGTCATACTTTTGTAACTGTGTCTCTTTCTCCTTGAAGTAATTTGACAATACTTCCAGACGGGTTTGAGCTTCCAATTTGTCCTTTTCCGATTGATTAAAGTCTTGTTTAAGTTTTTCAACCTCAGCTGTTGCCACTTGCAATTGACTCTCACATATTTTTCTGGCATCCTAGAAAAGAAAAAGGGTAATACTAGTTCACGGAGAAAATCTTAGCATGTAGACATTACCAATTCCAATTCCAATCGTTCCTTTAGTGACACGTATTTCTTCTGGGCATCTAGTAGTTCAGCTCTAGTATTGGCGACATCAATAACCTGATTGATATTTACATTGGGATCCTTTTTAACATTCTTCAAACATTCCTCTAATGCCTGAGAAAAAAATGACAACATTATGAATTAATTCAAAGAAATAGAAATATAAATGTACCTCCACTTTAGCCAGACTGGTCTGCCACTTAGTGTGCTCAGCCTCCACCTTTGCACTTAAATCTACAATTTCGTTTTGTAGGCGTTTGATTTCGAAATTCTTGCCCTCCAAAGCAGCGGTGATATCCTTGTCAAAATCATTTTTAATTTGGTCCAGCCGAGTGATTAGACTGCCTTTTTCTGCCTCTAGCTCATCATTGTCCCTCTGAAGATTTGAAATTTGCGATTCATAGCGAGCATTTTGTTCAGCTATCAACAGTTGCAATTCACTATTTTCGCGGCTCTTTTCAGCCAAACTGGCATTGATTTCCAAATCGTATCTGCAATAATGTGGCTAATAAATAGCGGCATTGATTGGTAGTCTCTTTTACTTACTTTGTTGTTCATTCAATTGCTTCTGTAATTCTTCCACACTGCTTATGATGCTTTCGTCTCCAGTCTGATTACTCAACAATTCTGAAACTATTTTATTCAATTCAATACCGGCATCTGCAGCAGCTTCCAATTCCTTTTGCAATGATGTTATCTGCTCTTGCAAGCGAGCCTTCTCCACTAACTCCTCCTCCAATTCTTTTTTAATCGACAACACCATATCGTTGGAGCCAAACGAATTATCCTCAATGCTGGACAGCTTTTGCCGGGTCGACATTAAGTTGTGCTTAAGAATGGAATTTTCTTTGTGGGATGCCAATAAACTACTTTCCAATTGATTGAGTTTGGAGAGTAAAGCACCCTCACTGCTGCTGTTGCAGAAACAGTAATAGCCAAAGACGAAGAACAACGTGGTGGCAGCAACAATCGTTAAAAATGCCAACAAATCACTGATTTCCAAGACTTTAGAGGCTAATGCTTGAACAAAGGTTTCCATGGTGAATTCAGTGGTTATGAAAGATCTGAGAGAGCACGTACATTTTTCTTCGGAATGCGATGCAGTTTTATGTGACGAGTGTGGACAGTCATTGGGACCCAACTTTTCGCAAAAACTTTCATCTGAAAATAAGCAAAAATAAAAATGGTTTAAGTTAAGGCCAGCGTCATCTTACATAAAGTAGTTCGATGATTTTAAAATAAAACTAAGTCTTTGATGTAATTAAAAAGAACGAATAATTTTTTAAAAGATAAGAAATACACAAAAACAGTTTTAGTGTCTAATATATTGATAAGACCAATAGGTTATGACGAAGCTCTTATTGCTCAATTATTATTTTAATTTACATGACTAACATTGAGACATCCCATACAATTGTATTATAAATTTAGTGTTCAAATTGGTTGTGAATCTTTTTAACTTCAAAAAATATAAAACAGAAATCATTCACATACCTTCTTCGCTGTTGGTCTTATATAATGAGTTTGGCTGTTTTCCGCCCATATCCGGATACAAAATCTTCTTCAACTCATTGTCATCCATCTCTGCAGCTGGATATTTTGGTTTTTTGTTATTGGGCAATATATTGTTAACGGTATCCATAATCGTTGCAAATAATCCCTTATCTTTCTTTTCAACAATATCATCATGATGATGTGATGGCGTTAATGAAGGTAATGATTTTGGTTCTTCCTCAATTGACTTAGGGGCTTCTGGCGTTACTATGGGCTGTAGAGGCTCAACATAGCCCTGACCTTGAGAAACGTCATCATAATAAGAATTGTCAACAGCTTGAGGTTTAATTGTTGACACCTCCGGCTCACTGGCTATAGGAGTATCGGTAATTGTTGTCTCCGGTTTAACAGTTGTTGTTTCTTCTTCATAGCTCGTAGAATGCTGCCCATAATAGTCAAAATTTGGTGTTTCAGTAGGCAATGAGGGCTCAGTTGTGTGTTGATAATAATCATGTTGAGACGGTAATGGTGTGTTGGATGACTCGACATTGGGATAATGTTGTGCGGGATTTACATAATCATTAGTATTTTGTTGTTGATAGGGATCACTGTACCCAGGGGGTATAGCGGTACTAAGCACAGGTGTTTCAGTTGGTTGTAACACGGGTTCTTGGTGGGGATCTATATTGGCAGGGGGGTTTTCTGGGATAGGCATTTGTGTTGAAGTTGGAAGTGGTGGTTCCTGGTTTGTTGGTATTTGGGGAGATTCTGTTACATCTGAAATGCCTTCTGTGGCAGTTGTGGGCAATAGGTTTGGGGAACTTGGAATTTCGGTATTAGCGGTTACTTCCTGCGTATTATGTATATTATCAATGGGTATTTCCATTGGCATTTCGTTTTGTACTTGATGCTCACTTACGGGATGCTCACTGGTGTTTGGAGAACTAGGAATTTCGGTATTAGCGGTTACTTCCTGTGTATTGTGTATATTATCAATAGGTATTTCCATTGGCATTTCGTTTTGTCCTTGATGCTCACTTACAGGTTGCTCACTGCTGTTTGGTTCACTATCATTTGAGCTAGGTTCATCTGAAGTGATTTCAGAGGTTGTATTCTCGGGAAGACTTTGTTCATTCGATATGTTGGTAGCATGGAAAATATCTTCTTTTTCTTCTTTGTTGGCAGTATTTAAGGCTTCAGTGGTGGGGGTAGAGGTCTTAGAGGAATTCTCCTGTTTCAATATTTCTGCATTCTTATCTTCGATAGGAACTGTTTCTTGCTGTTGTTCTTTTGAATTTACATCCTCTGGTGTTGTTTCATCACCGTGCTTTAAATCAGATTGGTGCACACTTTCAACACTTGGTTCGGTGGAAACTTGTTGTTGTTGTTGTGTTCCCTCAGTAGTTGAAGCAGCACCACCATCCACTATGCTTGAAGCAATAGTTGTAGAGTCCGATGAGTTTTCAGCAACATTGTTGGGGGTTTCAGGGATTTCATCAGTCTTTGTTGATGTATTCTCTGTTGAAGAGGATTCAGTAGTATCTGCCGGATTACTTTCCGAGGTCTCCACGTGGGAATTAAGTGGGACTGGTTTCATCGGCTCTTGGAATAATTTTTCTTTACTTTTCGTATCATCATTATCGATATCTTCATCATTATCGATTTCATCATCATCATAATCGCCTATTTCTCCATCATCATCTTCCTCGGACATTCCCATGGTGGAACCCATTGTTTGCTGTTCATACTCATCATCATTTGATGTGGGAATTCTAGTTCCATCAACAACTATTACATCTTCCTGGACTGGTGTTGCAGTTCGTTGCGGCAGTTCCTCGCTGTTACCAGTAGGACTACTGTTTATAGCTTCCTCTTGAGAACTTACAACCGCGTCATCTAAAGAAGCTGTAGGCGTTGTAACTTCCACGCTTACTTCAGGTGCAATTGAAGTTGGAGTTGCAGGAACTAAGGCCTCGGGACTACCAGGCTGAACTACATCTACAATATGTTTAAGATCCTTTTCTTTAATAAGTATCCGTTCCTCCCTAATGTAATCCTTAGGTGCATATCCTTCACGTCCATTTACCTCAACTCCCCACAGGGAAGGATTGGAGCCAGCGCTCTTCGACTTGATGCGTATAGGCGCATTGATTTGAAACGAAACCATTCCCACCTCTCCCGCTCTGTAACTAATTTTCCCCTTGCCCAGTGATATGATTTCTGAAAAGAAGAAAGAGAAAAAAAGACATAAGAATTGCCACTTTTCTAACTTGGTCACTTTTAACGATTACACACCAAGGCAAACCCCTTTCACTTACCTTTACATTTTTCATCGGCACACAGCCGTTTATCTGAAAGTCCATAGGCTGTGCCCCAAAAAACTAGGGTAAATACTAACGTCAGTGCTAATAAATTCGTTGTTGGTGCTTTGGTTATTTTCCACATTTTGCATTGCGTTTTTCGTTTCTCGTTTATCGCCACAAATATAATTGCTAGAGACAAAACTATTCACTTTTTATTTGTCTTTTGTAAAATTATAATTTTTTCGTTCGCCACATCACACATATAAAAATGAGTTTTTATTTGCAGAGTTGCCTTTTCTCGTATGTCAGTGTCTGACAGCTAATAAGTACTGAATACCCGGTATCTGTTAGTGGTGGCAATGGCACGATGATTACTTTGTTTGCTAGAGCTTTTGCAAAGCGAAAGCTTTCATTATACAGGACAAAGCAGAATAGATTTTTTTGGCACGTTCACTCTGCTATGGATGGGTCTATGTTACCACTTTGATGTATATTTTCGACGAACTATTTAGATTTGTAGATAATATCATTCGTATTCTTATAGGCTCTATTAAGGCCTTGACATATTGAATGCTCTATTCCTTGTCACGGATAATCGATAAAACAGCCGTAATAAACTGTTTTATCGACACTGAACGTCTCGTCTTATAGCAAAAGCCATACATGAATCGAAAATATTGAAGTCATTCAAATCGAAAACGTTCAAAATATTAATTGGTCTGTTCTAGAACTGCAAGAATGTAAAAGTTTATACTACGATAACCTATTTTTCTTTAGGATATCGAAAAAAATTGAAAACGGAGGAACAGGAACAGTAAACTATTCCATAACAAGATGCAGGTGTATAATACATTATAACAGTGAAAAACATGTCATAAATCCTGGGCAATTCTTGAAAAACGATGAAATATGTTTTCAAGTATAAGTTGAGTAGGTCAAAAATTACAATTGTTTAATTGAATATTCTTCAATATCATTGTGCATGGAACAGTTTTCTATTCAAATGCACCATTTACAGTCATACAGTGGTTAATTTTTTTAACATTTTAGGTTTGAGTGACTTCAATATTTTCACTCATACCCCTGAAACGATACAGCGACATCTGTTTTCATTTGCCTATGCACAAATATTTATACCCTACATCACATAGTGGTAAGGGTATTATGTCTTTGTGCATTTGTTTGTAACATGGAGAAGGAAGCGAGATAGACCGATACTTACTTTAAGGATCATCGTAGTCTCACTTTCTGAGTCGATTTATACAGGTCAGTATGTCTGTCCGTCCATCCGACTATGTATTTTTGTGAACAAAATGCAGGTCGCATTTATTATCCGATTGAGATGAAATTTTCCAATCAATATTTCTTTTGCCCAAGGGCGAACCCCATTGATATTGGAGATAATCGGATTAGATTTACATATAGCTCCCATATATCTTCAACTGATTTCGGGTAAGTTGTGAACAAAATGGCCAATATAAGTCCAAATGACCTGCATTTTGGTACATCCGACCTAATTCAGTCTAGAAGCAAGAACATCAAATTTGGAGAAAATCGGTTAAGATATAACTATAGCCCCCATCATCCGATTTGGTGCTCAAGTTCCTTATATTTGAAATATACGCCGCACAAGAATGATATTTCGTACAAGATATTTGGTACCAGATATCAGATACAGCCCAGAAATACTTCTGCCAAATTTTATCAAGATCGGTTCAGATTTGGATATAGCTCCCATATATATTTTCAACCGATTTCGACTTTTAACTTTTCCTTGCATTAACGTTTGGGAACATGATATGTCAAAAAAATTTAAATGTTTTTCAAAATCGAAGGTGGTAATGATATGCGTTTGTTTAACAATTTAACATAATTTAAAAAACTTGAATAATTTTTCCTTTAAAAATTTCACTTTCAAAATTGGTTTGAAAGTTAATTGTCACGTGTAGGTTCAAATATCCTTTGGTTGAACATACAATGTTTGGGACATAGGACTTTTGCTTGCATTACAGTTATGAGGTCCGCAAAGAAAATTTCGGCGTGTAGCAAATGGAATGACCAAAAATATGTTTTCCCTTTTTATGACGGTGTTAGGTGCAAAGCTGCTGATTCAATATATTTTTGCTGGGTAGGTATGAAAAAAAAAAAACTATCTCACTAACACACATATTTTTGAGCATCTTCACATCAACTCGTGGTGATGATCATTAAATAATTGCCGGCAAAAATCTCTCTGGCGTCATATTTCTCATTGAATGGTGGAGCAAACTGAGAGAAGGAGAGCCCATCATCAGACACGCAAAAAATGAATAGCACTGGCAAAGACAACCGATCGAATTTATTTCTCCTAGTTTTAATAGTCTTCAGCATTTTGACGGGAAAGGTTGTCGGTGCGGTTGATTCGCGTGTTTCGGTTTTAAGACAAAGTGAAAGGAAAAAGTACGTTGTATTTTGCAATTTTCACAAACGAATGGTGGACAAAAAATAGTTTGTCAAAATACTCACACACACTTGCAACAATAATATTTCCTCAAACACATCGCTGCGCACAGCTGTGGAGATTTTCCATAAGCTAAACATAAGCGATGTGGTTGTTTTAAATGAAAATGGACGGCAGTTTATAAAATTGATTAAAGTTAAATTAGTTTTTTTTATTAATTTTCTTCATAAATTCGCTGGTGTGATGCAACGACAAGCGACGCATTGCAATGAGTGTGTAAAACGAAAATAGTTTTTTATATTTATTTTTTTTTTTTACTTTTCTATCGCCCTCTTTGTTGTTTATTTACATAATAAACTTAACACAAATTACAAATGATGTGTGCCTGCGTGCGTGTGTGGTCGGCAATTTCTTTTTTTCTTCAAATGAAATAAAAAAAACGGGGGGGGGGGGGGGCAACAACAAAACCGCGTTATCGACCGAATGTGTGCAGTGTGACCGAAATTCTTTAGCATTGACTTTGAGTGTAACAAGTGGCCGGCCGGGTCATCATCACAAATGTGTAACATATATTAGCGATTTGAGTATAAGAACCAATTAACCAATTAATTGTACTACATCACTTTCGTAATTATAGACGAATTTTCTCAATGCCTTGTCGGTCTTAAATATTCTAGTACCTATTTGAAATTGTATAGAGGAGTTGTTTTACGGCATTTTCTATTACTATTTAATATTTTAAAAACTAAAGTGAGCACTGTCGATCAAAGATAAAATAATAAATAAATTGCCACTCTCGCCGGCTCAAGGTCAGCTTTTTTCGAATGTTGAACGAAAAACTTATTTGTACACTTGAACGTAATACGCACTTTGAAACCAATCACAGTAATTGCAACTTTCATTTCACTTACTATCAGTAGGGTATCAATTTTTTGCAATTACCGATTTGCATGTGTCTTTAATTGTTGACAAATTACAATATTGTTGTAGACCCACTTTAAGTGGGTTGTAGACCCACTTTATACCAATTATTTTTATTTGGTGTGCAACATTTCTAAATACGAAAAAAACAAAATTTTTCGAACGCGATTTTTTTTTAAAAAATTTCAAAATTTTGTCGTCGATTTTGAGCATGTAGTTTTCGATTAAAACTAATCATACGTAGTCATTTGAAGGAAGTCGAACACATTTATCTAATTTTATGCGAAATCATAAATTTAGATAAATACCATATTCATATCAGATTTCTGGTTAAGAGAAATATTAAGATATACCAAGTTGTAATGAATCACTGACTTTTTTCGCAAGTTATGATAGATAAAAGTTTTGAAAAATGTGGCCCTTTGTGGGTGAAGGGGTTTGCAGATATATATCATCTTCTTCAGATCCTGTGATAGCAAACATATTTGGATATCTGAAATTTGAAGAGGCTTTCTTTGAGCGCTTTGTTTTTCAAATTCTTGAACCCAACAAAGTCAAACGACATAATTTTTACATTTGTTTTAAATTTTATTGAATGAAAACAAAAAATATTTGACATAGCACCAAATTTTAAAATAAGTTTAGATTTGTTCGAATTGGTCACCTCTGGCACGAATTATGGCTTTCAAACGGCCAATAAAACCGACACACGCTGCCCGAATGTTGCTCTGCGGTATTTTGGCCCATTCGCGGCGCAGCGCTTGCTTGACGTGATCGACACTTTGGTATTTTTTAGTGCCAACCTTGTAAACATTCATAGGTGGTGAGTGCGATAGTGCTGAGTCCTGTTGGAATGTCCAAAGTCTGCGGCCAAAATTTTTGCATGCCCAAGGCTTTAATACACCCACCAGAATATTTTCGCGATAATATTCGCCATTTATTCTAATGCTTCGGTCGATTAATAAGAGCGGAGGGCAACCAACGACTGTTATGGCGGCCCGGGTTTCAATCAAGTCGCTTCTTTACTTTTCGAACTATTTCTGCATATGTTGCTGGAGGTGGTACAAGAAGGAATGGTCCGATATCTACCATCTTTATAACAGATCAAGCCAAGTCTGAATGGAATCGGATGTTAATTTCGTATTTCACGAGCTTCATGAATATTCAAAATTTTTTAACCTTGGTATAAATTTTAACGATTTTAAACAATAACAAATTCAAAATAGATATACGTCGTTAATTTTAGAACTATTCTTTTTGTTTATATTATTTCAATCGGTTTTTGGTATTTTCGTGGGAATCGTTTTTTAAAACATATTAAGCCATAGTATTGTCACGATTTAAACCACATTTTCGGAATTGTTTCAAATTTGTTTTTTTTTTTTTTTTTTTTTTTGTTCGTAATGGGTACCACTTCCTATGACAGAAAATTACCTATGAAGGTCCACATCTTCGTATATACCTCTTATAACTTTACTATTCTATATTCGGGATTTTGATAATTTACTAAACATTTTTCAGCGGAATTTCTGCTGATTTCTCTTTTGTGACGAGCTTAATGATCTGAAATTTGCAGTGAGACTTTATCACGCACTCATCATTATGCGACGCATTTCGCTGTTTTGATACGTTTTCAGCGTTACACCTTTTGGGTTCTGTGTACCTGATCCAGTTAGATTAAATGGAAAAAGCCATGCCATCATCTCAGTTCTACTTTTGTACGTGCCGTTGTAATAACAATCACCCGGCTTGTTATCTTGAAAGGAAAATAATTTCTCCCGCTTACTTTGTTGTTTGCAATTGTAAAATTATTAGTTATCTGTGAAAATACAACAATAAAAAATAGCTTTCACGTAACAGATTGCCTGCACATGCAACTATTCCCCTCAAGTTAATTCAAATTTACAAATTGAATGCACTTGAAAAAGTTTTACAGTTGTGCACAGTTTTTTTTTTGTTTTTCGTTGCAAAATATTTAATCGTAGCTAAATGCCGTTATGGCGTGCATTTTAGTCGTAATTAACATTATTTCATGATTTTCCTGAATTGTCTCCCAAAATGGATTTCGATTCGAAAAAGCAAATATTTGAGGAATGGATAGCATGTGAGCTTTCAATCTATGAAGAGTGATCAATGATCAATCAAGCAGTTATGAGTTAATAAAAACCTAAACTTATATAGGTGTATGTATTTATATAGAGAATAAAAAAACGTCCGGTCCGGGTAGTTACAACTTTCGTATAAAAATATCGATGTTTTAGGGATAATAAGATGATAGGTTATAAGGAATTCGGATATGAAAAAACCCATGAGTAACTAAAAGACCATTTTGAAAACATAGATACCAATATTATCATAATTTTATCTTTATTTATAATTTTATTATAATTTTATTTTTTATTTATTTTATAATAAGTGTGTATGTATTTTCCATTAAATTATTTATTGGTTTCTAGGCGACAAAGTTAAGAGGCAATATTTGCTGTAAATTAACAACTCAAAGAAAACTTCTTACGAGTACATTTATATTGGTCACATTCGCCAGATAGTAAATTGTATCAATAAAAACTTGTATGTGTGTAAGCACTAATCAATTGTTTGTCACTTCATAACTAAGTAGCAACACGTTTTACTCACATGCAATACTTTATCAGACTAAACAAGAAATCAAAAAAAAAAAAAAAAAAAACAAATGCCCACCATGACTTAGCAAAAAAGTGCAAAAAACATCCGAATACAAACAAACAAAATGACTACAACAAATTCAGTTATAAAACTAAATTTCAAATCGTTTCAGTTTTAATGAAATACAACTGTTTTTGAGCACACGCTTACCATAACCATCGCCGCTGCCGTTCGATAATCAAGCAATTCCAGATGTTGGCTACAGCTCTAATATGGATTGCGGCTTTACTAGCTGTTATTGGTCCCCTGCCATTAACCGTTGATGGAAGAAGACATAACTTAAAGATTTTAGGTCTGTTTCCCCATCCTGGCATCAGTCACTTTCACTTCTTTCATCCGATATTAAGAGGTCTGGCGGAAAGGGGACACGATGTCACAGTTGTAAGTCATTTCCCCGACAAAAGTCCACCAGTGGGTTATACCGACATACCATTGACAGGAAAAGAAACATTAGCAAACAGTGTGGATCTGAAGGTAAGTTTCTTGTATTAGTGTGTGTATTGTGGTAGACTTTTGTGATGTTGTACCTATCAAACCATAACCTAAGACAAAGCAATACAAACATATTAAAAAACAAGCAGAGGATATAGTCGTGCGGGGCCGACCACAATATGGTAGAAGTCCCCTTATGTCCAAATCCAAATATAGAGCTCTGCGTAGATATTATCCTTAGCTTTTTGGCCAGGACCATTTGTCCAATATATACGCACTACGTCGTGCTGTAAGTTATTGTGATCCATTTTACAGCTAAATATAATCCAATGCTCATCCAAAATGCTAGACTTCTTCCCTGTCCTTAACTCTATTCTCATGCAAAATTCGGTGTCGATAGGATTCAATTGTGTGATCAGGAATTTTTTTCTGCCCGTGGTTCATTTGAACACCTAAATATTTTGCGATTATCTTCAAATATCTGTATCTCCAAATTTAGACTCATCTATATGATTTACTTGACTACGATATTTGGCTATATTCGTCAACAAAATCAGCATAAAAAAAGGCATTTTTGTATTTTGGATTTCGTCTGTTATTTCCACCGTTTCGGTAGAATGGAAATGTTGGTATTTTTCACACAAAAGTAGTGGTCCATTCTACTCGCTGTCCTAAACTCGAACTTCATGCGAGATTTCGTGTCTTTTACTTTCTATTTGTGACATTAATAACGGCTGCAAAATCAGGAACATTTTTAGTTGTGGGTCTATTTCAACCCCTAAATATATTGCGGCCACCTTTAAAAACAATAGAACTAGCCCTTCTGAGCCAAACCCTATCCTTATGAACATTTTCGTGGGGATCGGACGATAATTGCAATCTGTATATAATAACCCCAACCTGTGCCTGAGGTAAAAAATGTTACAAAATGTGTACTTCAATATTATAAGTCAAATTAAAAAAATCGAATGCGATAAAAAACATGAAAAACTTATCACAAAACCTGTATTAACTTCATTATTGGCATTCTGAATTGATAAAATTTGAAAAAATCGGTCCAGCCATTCTTTAGATATATTCATTCTAACTAACATCCCCTTCCTTTGTATATGCACATTGTATATATTTCGCTATATACATATATCCGATATATTTACTATCGACATCTACGTAACGCTCAGAATTTACCTTTTGGTCTATTTGTGGTTTCGCCTGGATTAAAAATATACGCGTTTTAATGATAAAATTGATTTTTATTTAACACACATGTTTTGGTCTATTTTACCCACTAAATATTATTCGATGACCATCATAATTGGAAGGCTTCTGCCCAGCCCTATGCTCCAGCCCCATGCTAACTTTCTGGTCGATTGGTCTATATTTGCGACCTGTAGAGCAACTGCACTTTTTCTGTTTTTGGTCCATTTTAGCCCCTAAATATTTTGCGATCATCTCGATAAGCAATATTCTGACCATAACCCCACCTCCATGCAAAATTTCGTGAGGGTCGGGCCATAATTGCTACCTGTAGCGTGATTACAAGTTAACATGGACAGACGGACGGACGGCAGGCATAGCTAGATCGACTCAGCTCGGCGAGACAGGAAAATGCATATATAGTTTCCAATGTCGGTGATCAATATTTGAATGTGTTACATAATTGTTGACCCAATTAAACTTACAATATAGGATATAAATACTTATTTGTTTATTTCTCTTAATTTCATAGTTGACATAAAAATTGTCTAATACCTACAGTTCATTAAAAACCGTCGTAAATTTATGAATTGCGATTCATTTTATATAACCTACTTCCAACTGCTTTTTAAATCTATTTTGATAGCGATTTCATGTTGGACAATTTTCAATTTTGTTCATATAAAATACAGAAAACGTTCGTTATTCTGAGATCAGCACCTTTTAACATTTTATACAATGACAAACGTTCCTTTTTATTCTGTCACCATTTATTTTATACCCCAATGAACTTTGCAATTCTACAAGCCATACTTTTTTTAAAACATCAGAAATTTACATTTAGAACTAGACATGTGATCCGTTAGACATCTGCCCAGAATTTAAAATCTTTTCATTTAACACCTATCACGTTTTCAGTTACAAATGCGTGTTTAATGGGTAAAGGAACCTGTGAACATAGTCACATTTTTTAGCCATTGCGTTTATATCTCTGACAAAATGCAGTTACAGAAAATTTTCTACAACAATGAACATTTTAATGCAAATTCACGTTCTGCTCTATTCTGGAATTTTTAATCATCAACGTGGAAAATCAATAAATAATGTTTCTGGCTCATCACCTCTTTCTTATCACCTTATAAATACGTTACAACTTTATCAATGACTTGCAAATATTTTTTATTTTCTTTTCTCTTATAGGTTTTTGAAAATCGCCGTTTCTACAATCACTTCTTGGAGTTCTTCTTACTTTACGAATGGGGTAAGGAGGCATGCAATCACACCCTTCGATCAGAAGCCCTCTACAAAGTTATGCGCCAAAAGGTACGCTACGATGTTATATTGCTGGAACAGTTCAACTCGGATTGCATGATGGGTGTGGCTCATATGTTGCAAGCACCCGTTATTGGTCTCAGCAGCTGCGCTATGATGCCGTGGCACTATGAACGCATGGGCATGCCCATCATACCTTCTTATATACCGGCATTGTTTTTGGGACAGTCCGAAGATATGTCTCTGGGTGGTCGCATTGCAAATTGGATTAGCTTTCACGCTTTGAATTTAATGTACAATGTTTTTTCCATACCGGCAGCTGATGCCTTGGTCCAATATAAGTTTGGCCATGACGTGCCATCAGTCGGTGAATTGGTGAAAGAGACAACCTTGATGTTTGTGAATCAACATTTTTCCTTAAGTGGAGCAAAACCGTTGCCACCCTCGGTAATCGAATTGGGAGGGGTACACATACAGAAAGCTAAACCGCTCGACGTTGATCTACAAAAGTTTTTGGATAACGCTGATAATGGTGTGGTGTTCATAAGCTGGGGCTCTATGATCAAAGCTGAGACTTTACCCGTTGCCAAGCGGGATGCCATAGTAAGAGCGGTCAAACGTTTAAAACAACGTGTCATTTGGAAGTGGGAAAACGAAACTTTGGCCAATAAACCAGATAATATGTACATAAGTAAATGGCTACCGCAGAGGGATATTCTCTGCCATCCGAATGTGAAGGTGTTTATGACACATGCAGGTCTCATGGGCAGCTCAGAGGCAGCATACTGTGGTGTTCCTGTAGTGGCAACACCAATGTACGGTGATCAGTTCCTAAATGCAGCAGCAATGAAACAACGCGGCATGGGTGTCGTTCTTAACTATGAAGATATCGATGAAAACACAGTTTTGAAGGCCATTAAAAAAGTCCTGGAAAAACAGTAAGACTTCAAGAAAGTTTTATTCTATACTCAGACTGCAATTAATATTTTTTTGTATGTTTCAGATATTATGACAATGCCAAAATGATCTCGTATGCCTACAAACATCGGCCAAACACAGCCTTGGATACAGCTATTTGGTGGGTGGAATATGTGGCCAATACTGAAGGAGCTCCTTTATTGAAATCCAGCTCCACATACATGTCCCGTTTTGTCTACTACTCTCTGGACGTTTATACCGTTTTGGGATTGGTTGTTCTTACTTCAGTCGTTACATGGGGACTACTGATGCGCAAATTAAAAACTGCCACACGTAATAGAGGGACAACTAAAGTTAAATCGAATTAAATTCTAAAACTGACTTCATATACAAACTAATGTTAGGATTTTTGTGATAACTCCCACTCACATTTAGCAGAAGTGACGATTTTTATACCAAATTGGACTATTTAAAAGTTTTGTAATATCTGACCCATACTAATCAAATGCAATATGTATCATTTTTACTAAAATCGTAATTATTACAAAGAAAAATTTATTTTGCAGAAAGCACCACGTAATGCCTTTTACGAAATTTGTTATTATAGTTAATAGATTTTTTTAGTTTATATATTGTTGATAATTATTAGTTAATAAACCGTTTAGTTTGTTAGAAAATTTTGAAGTTGTTATTACTTGCACTCATTAGAGAGGGTCATAGTTCTCTGTGACTGAAAAAACATAAACGATTTGCCATAGACTAATGATTATCTAGAAAACGGAATGTTGGTATGCAAGAGCGTATTGTACGCCACCTGCATAAAAAAAACAAAACTAACTTTCCGTTGTCTATATTTTCATTTGTATATGATATGGCTTTGTAAGCAAAACTAAAAACCGCTATTGTGATTGAAAACCACCCATACTGTCATAATTTTTGTTTACGTTTTCACATGCTTAATTCTTCAATCTATTTTTGTATTTCATTTGTTATAGAACATGAAACAGAGGCTAGTCTTAATGGGTGACCCATTGCATAGGGCATCGGTGTCAAACATGCACCTTATTTAATACACCTTAAATGTCAACATTTTTAAATTCAAGTCACAATAGTGAATTTTGACATTTACTCAAGTAAACAGTCAACAGCGCCATTTGCGTGTTGAAAAGTAACGCCGATAAACACTAAACAAATCGTGAAAATATAAATTGGGGACATCGTCTCTCAAAGAGCAAAATAATTCCACACTTGACAAAGGCACTGCGGCTGGAGTAGTACCATTCCTGGACACATTCTACATTAAAAAAGTTCATTCCCAAAAAAAAAAGAAATATGGCTAAAACCCGTGTTTATGTTGTTGGTGTTGGTATGACCAAGGTAAGTTAGTAAATTTCGAAAATGTTGCAAATCTTCGGTGCATAAAACGAAAAACAAAGATACTGATAATGAAGTACATTAGCTCCATTGAACTTTGATCTGTACTTAATATTTACAAAAATTGTTCGTGTGGAATTGTTTTGATAATTATTTTAATATAAATTCCCCTATGACCAGAGGTCGCACCCATTAACATCTGTGGACCTCTCCTGCGGCTTATGTGTGATTAGCCAATGTGTATATAAAGATAAGAAAAGACATCCAAAAATAGTTGCCTATACCTACTAGTAATCTCCATTTCCAGATTAACTTTATCTTAAGTATCGATGTTACTTGTGATTTGGAAAGTTCAATGTTCAACATATAAATTTATTTGTGAACTTTATAACATCTGTTTATATTCGTTTTTCCATTTATTTTCTTGCTATATACATATTTTCTATGAAGTTGTAATCCAAAATTGTTGTAATAATTGGAAATACATTTATATTGATTGCTTTACTATTTTTAGTTTGAAAAACCTGGTCGCCGTGCTGATGTTGATTATCCCGATTTTGCTAAGGAAGCTATTACCAAAGCCTTAGCTGATGCCAAAATTTCCTACAATGAAGTGCAACAAGCTACAGTTGGTTATGTATATGGTGATTCTACATCGGGACAACGTGCCTTGTATGAAGTTGGCATGACTGGAATCCCCGTCTTCAATGTTAACAACAATTGTTCGACTGGATCCAGTGCCTTGTATTTGGCTAAACAAATTATTGAATCAGGAAATGCTGATTGCGTGTTGGCTTTCGGTTTTGAGAAAATGGAACGTGGTTCGTTGTCTGCTAAGGTAAGACTTAAAGCATAAGAAACAAGCGAAAGTTTGGGGTTTTTTACATTTTCAAAGTTAAAAATGTATTAAAATGTTATTTATTTCATTTATTTAGTAACAAAATCCTTCACGGCCTAGATAAATATATTACAGCTAATAATATGAAATCAACATTAAACATATATCATTTGTACCCCAGAATATATCAATCTATTTAAGCAAAACCAAAAAAAATGTAATATGGGGTTTCAGTCAAATACATTTTTCGGAGTTCCTTGTTCATATTATGGAGAAAGCATCTGTTAAAACTGTAACATGTTTAAAACATTTCTGTCAGCAAGGTTTTTAAATTATTTCAATTGCGTCTAAATCTAGTATCCAATTATTTTTCTTACCAAATGTCCAAAATTGTATTCAGTGTACATCATGTATTCCTTGTTAGGCATCTACTACTAATAATTTATACATTTCAGTACTTTGATCGTGCCAATCCCATGGAACGACACATTAGTGAAATGTCCGAATTAGCTGAAATTGGACCTGGACCAATGGCTGCTCAAATTTTCGGCAACGCTGGCAAGGAACATATGAAAAAATATGGCACCAAACCCGAACATTTCGGTAAAATTGCCTGGAAGAACCACAAGCACTCCGTCAACAACCCGTAAGTATATTTATTTTTCTTTTATGGCAATACAAATTCCACATCAGTTCATTATAAAGGTCTTTCTACACATTCATATCATTGTTAGCTTATCTTATCGCAAACATTCCCTGACTACACAAATTCCAATTTAATAAAACCTAGTAGAATAAATTATGCATTTCTAATGTATTCTTTCTAATCCTTTCTAGCTATTCCCAATTCCGTGATGAATACTCTTTGGAGCAAATTATGCAATCACCTGTTGTGGTCGAGGGTATTCTTACCAAATTGCAATGCTGCCCTACTTCAGATGGTGCTGGTGCTGCAATTTTGGTTTCCGAAGCCTATGTTCATCGTTTTGGTTTAGAAAACCAAGCCGTTGAAATCGTTGGCATGGAAATGGCCTCAGATCCTGAATCAACTTTCAAAGATAAATCTCTCATGAAAATTGCCGGTTATGACATGACAAAAATGGCTGCTCAACGTTTGTTCGCCAAATCTGGCTACAAGCCCACTGATGTTCAGGTTGTTGAATTGCATGATTGCTTCTCAGCCAATGAATTGATTACCTATGAAGCTTTGGGTCTTTGCCCCGAAGGTGGTGCAGGCGAACTCATTGATCGTGGTGATAATACCTATGGTGGCAAATACGTTGTCAATCCCAGTGGTGGTCTTATCTCAAAGGGCCATCCTTTGGGTGCAACCGGTTTGGCCCAGTGTGCCGAATTGTGCTGGCAATTGCGTGGTTTGGCTGAAAAACGTCAAGTCAAGGATGTCAAATTGGCCTTGCAACACAATTTGGGTCTGGGTGGTGCTGTAGTTGTTACTCTCTATCGTTTGGGTTTCCCCAAATCAGCTGGTGTCGTTAATAATTTGACTTCTGCTGCAACCCATCCCACTGGAGAAGGATTCAAGGTTACACCACTCTTGAAGTTGTTGGATGAAGAAATGCAAAAAGACGAAGAAAATCTTATCGAAAAGGCACGTGCAATTTATGGATTTAAGGTCACTAATGGCCCAGGTGGCAAAACCGGATTCTGGGTTATTAATGCCAAGGAAGGCAAAGGCAAAATCACCTATAATGGCAAGGAAAAATGTGACGTTACATTCATAGTTTCCGACGAGGATGTCACCGAATTGATGACTGGTAATTTGCCACCCCAAAAGGCTTTCTTCCAGGGCAAAATTAAAATCCAAGGAAACATGGGCGTAGCCATGAAACTGATGAACATTCAAAGCGCCGCTCAAAGCCGTTTCGAAACCTTGCGTGCAAAATTGTAAATATTGAGTAAATGTTATTTGTATGAAGTCCATGTATGGAAATAAAAATGAAAGAGAACGAGGTGATTGTATGTATTTAGTAATAAGATATATTGTGAATATTCCATTTTATTTTTGTTAAATAAACTTTTTTATAATGTAGAAAACAATTTGTGACTCTTTTTTAAATAACTAAACTGCATGCTACGTAATAAACAGCTATGCACCACCTGTTAAAATTATTTCAGTGACAGCTCATTATATTGTTTACAAGCGTACAAAAGCATTTTGGTGAGAATTTTCCAGAAAAAAATTTTCGTGATGGAATTTAAGCGTGATAGTGTGTTTTCTTTACAAGTGGCTATTGTTAGAGCAATCCAGCATTTAAATGTGAATAAATCTTTTGTGTCTCGTATCACCGTGATACTGGTAGCGTAGCCCGAGTGGACGGAAGAAAACAGCAGCATCATCAGGAATGGTTCCAAAATTAAGGAAGCGACTTGATCAAACCCGCGTCGCAGTGAAAATAGTCTAAAAAGTGCTAAAGAGTTGCTTCGCTTGACCGAAAGTGGTGAACTAATTTAATTAATCGACCCTGGCATCAGAATAAATGCCGAATATTATCGCGAAAATTTTCTGGAGGGTGTATTAAAGCCTTGGACATGCAAACATTTTGGCCGCAGACCTTGGACATTCCAACGGAACTCAGCACCATCGCACTCAGCACGCGCCACCCAAGAATGGTTACAAAATGCGGTTCCTCGCTTTATTTCCAACGCACAATGGCCACCAAAATCGCCGAATACCAGTCTGTTGGACTATTGAATATTTTGGAAAGCAAAGCTGGCACTAAAAAATACCAAAGTGTCGATCACCTCAAGCAAGCGCTTAGCCGGGAATGGGCCAAAATACCGCTGAGCAACATTCGGGCAGCGTGTGACGGTTTCATTGGCCGTTTGAAGACCATAACTCGTGCCAAGGTTGACCGATTTGATGCTATTTTTTTGCTTTCATTCAATAAAATTAAAAAAAAATGTAAAAATTATGGCGTTTGACTTTGTTGCAGTTTTTTTTTATCTCACCCCATACATTGTGGTTGAATTTAAATTCTGGTTAATGGTCAGGAATTCCGTTGGTTAAATCAAACAGCCAAAATTACAACTACAGTATGATTATTTATTTATTTATGGTCTTAAGACTACTTCTTAAATATGTTTGTGTATTATACGCTATGCCGTTTAATTCTCACTTATATCTCTTCTTGTTTTGACAGTGAGATAATATATATATATATATTTATGTTATATATCGTGTGCTTCAAATTGATGTTATTGTTTTTTATCTGTTTCTCTGCGATATATATATGTATTCACTTACATACATATTTGTTCTGCTATCCATTCATTGTCTTATTGGTAAATAATAAAAGTTTGATTTGATTTTTGTTTTGCTGGCTGATTTGTTTGTATGTTTGAAAAGTGCAAAATATATCTGAGTGTGTTTAAAAAAATCCAACACAGTGAGCGATGGATGGATGCATGCACCCACACATCGACAACAAGCGATTTTGCTAACTGATATCTGAACCATACAAATATATAACGTATTTATATTGTTTATAACTTATGGACCTATTATGTATAATTATATAAGTGTACATTGTTATACAAAATTTTAACACATATTAAAAGAAATGTGCCATGTTGTTGATGTTATGGGTGTGTATGCGTATAGCTTTGAACAATAACTGTGATAAGATGACTTCAAAGTATATTGGATTACAAGATCTAATGTTTGAGTAATTAGAAATCGATAAAAGGAAACGAGTTTAATAAATAAAAGTGTTTAGTTAATATGTTGCTTATCCAACGTATATACCATAAAATAAATATGAACAAATTTTAATAGTTGGACAGGAAATGAAAAGAATGATTAGGATCATGTTAGTGAAGCATAAACTTGAGATAAAATACAATATGTCTAAAATATATATTTATGTACATACATAATTCTATAAACAGTAAAAACTACAAAATGTTTTATAGGATCTGAGGAAAACAAAGGAATATGGAACAGTTCTAGTTCAGACAATGCGAACACAATATAATATTATATTGAATTCGAAATGAATTACCCTTCCAAAAGTATTTGGAAAGTTATGGCTAAACTAAAGATTCTTTTTCCACCAAAAGTTGGCGAATAAAACCAATCTTAATCTTGTCTCAATTATACATAACTTTTCAATTGAGATGATGATGATGATGTATGCCCATTGAAGTTCAAAATGTAGTCCTAACAAAATTTACAATTAACTCAAAAAATATTTCGTTCCCTTTGGCCGGATCGATGGCAACTCAATGCAAGGAAGATGTATAACTTATGGACGAAGATGATGAAGTACTGCTGCTACTTGATGAATTGGTGCCACTAGTTGAACTGCTTGTTGTTCGACTATCCATGCACGCCAATATGGAACTTATGAGATCCGCCGAAGATTATTGTGCTTATTGGAGGAAACTTTGAAGCACTTTTCTGAGATTTCGAAGGGGTTCCTGATGAAGAGCTACTTGATGAAGAGACTTTTGATATCTTGATGGCTTTTGCATCTGTGCTGTGTGTAGGGGGTGGAGGTGGCGGAGGCTGTGGAGTGTGTGTGGGAGGCGGTGGTGGTAGTGGTGGCAAGGGAGGTAAGGGTGGTAACGGTGGATAGGTTTGATTGGAACACGCCACTGTTGTCATTGGCGTTGTGGTGGTTTCAATTTCTTCTGATATGATCACTTCCTCCTCATGGTCTACTACCAACTGAGGTTGTGATAGTATGATATCGTCAACTATGCTCTCTGCTGTATGGGGAGGTACAAGGGCTTCTTCAACGCTTATTATATTGTTTGGAGGAGCAGGTGTGGTGATGGAGGGGAAGTTATGGTAGTAACTTGAATTGTGGTGGAGGTAGATGTAGAAACAATATTCGGCAATTGGGAAGATGGTGCTGCGCTATTTGCAGGTTGAGGTTGTTGAAAGCTGCTTAGATGGGTTGATGATGCTGATGTGGAAACTTGTGGAGGAGGAGGTTCATCGGAAACTATTTGTACTTGTATTTTTATTTCTGGTTCTTTTTGATTTAGGCTATTCACATAAGCCTCTCGGTGTGTGAACGGCGTGGGAGGTACTAGAGGCATAGGTAATGCAGGCACTATTGGTTCTGGAAGTTTAACCTTATTACTGGGTAGATTACTGGAATTTGCCATAGGCACCACAGTGGTGGTGGACAGATTTTTGTTGAGGTTGTTTCACTACTTGTTGCCACATCGGCGGAAGTTTTGTGCTTCTTGGGAGTCAGCGAAGAAGTTTTAGTCGATTTTGCAGTACTACCTTCATCTTTATGTTTACGTTTCTCCTTCTTCTCCTTCGCATGTTCACCATCATTTGTCTTTGATTTTTCGGCTTCTCTGTCTTGTTTGGTGATGGTGCTATTGTTCCAACTACTTTGTTTATCATATTATGTTCAATTACCATTTTCCGCATATCAATTTTGGGTTCCTCTTTCGTTGACTGTTTCTTTTTTGTTGGAGTTTCTGGATCATCTTTTACAGCGGTGGTAGAGTCATCGGTTCCACTCTCACTGGACAGGCGACTACGACTTTCCATGTCAATAAGCTTCTCGTTTCTGATTTTTTAGCTTTACCCTCATGATTACGTTTGCAGGGGGTCTTTTTCGTGTGACTGTCATCATGAGAATGGGATTTGGTAGAATTGTCTGCTTCTCTTTGTATTGTGGAGGTTCTGCCAATACTGGGTTGTTCTTTTCATTGATGACCTCTTGACCCGGATAATACTGACGTAACCTCAGTGCCATGCTATAGAAATAAGAAAAAATATGCTATAGCTAAAAATAGTTTGCTTAGATTTCAATCTATTTACCAACACTGGTTACAGCCGTCACAGTTCGAAACTGGTGAATAATATTGCGTGGCAAAAAATATATATCATTGTCACACAATTTAATGCGAGCATAGCGTATGCCATCACGACGTAGCTGGTTTAGTTTGGCGTCTTCAATCCACTGTACGCATTGTGAAATTGGAGGCTCGTGCAAATCTAATTGCAATGTTCCCACAAGTTGGTTAAAATCTTGAGCTGCAAATGCCACCACATCTTTGGTAATGCGATTCTGGGTATAAGATTCGCCTCCATGGACGGCTTTGAGTATACCTAAATGGTAATATAACATAATAATCAGATGCAGTTGTTGCTGAAGATCCGAAAATAAGTCAACGGCGTGACAGATAATACGCATCCAACTTACCAACAGCTGCAGTTGTAATGCGTTCATGCCCATGGCCCACATGATCTGCATGAGCTTTAGTGCGATCTTCTATCATTGTTTCACGAGCCTCCGATAGACGTGGTAAGTATTGCAAATTTCGTAATTCATTAATTCGTGTCCTGAAAGGCAAACTTTATTGACACGAAATTTCATAAATCTCATTAAGTTACCTCTGACGCTTTAATGGTGTTTTGCTATTCAGCTCAGCTGTAGGCACCAATTGTTCGCCGGAACGTATCCATAGAATTGGACCATCGTTCGACAGTCGAGGATCAGTTTGTAATATTGAATATGGTCCCCAAGGCATGGTCTGAAAATAAGTTAGTTCAGAGAGATATATTAAATATTATATTATTATTGCTTTAATTGTTACCTTTTTAGGAAGGGGTTTTCTTCTATTCTCCCAATAAATCGGGAAAATATCCACCGACTTCTTCATGTACTTGCCTACCAAGCTAATTTGATGCAGAGGCCCATACCGAAACGTCCCCTGAGAATAATTACGAACAACCTGTAAAGATGTAAAAATATTTCATTAGTTATCTGTGTTGAAACAATTCAATCTTTGTATGGTTTCTATTGTTAGAGTGGGTGCAAACTAACCTGTTCATAGTACTGTGCCATTGTGCAGGTTTCTATGTCTGAATTTCTACCCAAGACACCTGCCTTAACAGTGAGTGTTGAATAATTTTCTGCCATATGCTGCAATAATCAGGCAAGTATCTCGCAGCATCGTGTACAATACCCATTACATGGTGTGCATAGCCCTCTTCATCCTCTGCGAAGCAAACTTCAAAGAACTCATCCACCAGTTCATCCATTTCATGTGGAGGGAGGTCTTTAATTTCATCTTGATACAGATGCACAACGGAAGCACCACCATTCGGATAAACTTCGACTTCGAAGTATTGTCCATATTTAAGGTGTTCAAGTCCAGGCGGCACACGATTATTGTTGCGACTGGTCCGTGTAACATTTGGTTGGGGTGGTGGCGGTACATATTGTGTTCCAACACTGGTACGTCTTATTTTTGAGCGTTTGTAACACCTAGAGCATTCCCGACTACTACGTGACGAAGACGACGATGAATTGTTTGCAGAAGATGACGACGATGAGTTGTGTTTGTAGACGACGAAGAAGATGAGGACTTGTGGTTGTGATGGTGATGTGCATGAGAGCTGCTACCAGATGAGGATCTTCTTGAAGATGTAGCTGACTTCGATGAAGATGACGAAGACGAAATAGTGGAAGGTCCCGGCACTGTGCCTCCACTACCAATGGAAACAGTGGAATGATTTTGATGTTGCGCACTTTGGTTGTGAATTGAAATATGTGATGTCGAGTCTGTATAATGATGGTTTGTGCTTATATTTGAATGCTGCATCGCGTTGTTGCCACAAATGGTGTTTTGTGAGCTGGCGAGGGCATCATAAGACTTCCATTTTCAGTTGATTTTCTGTTAGTTTTGGTAACGTCTCCACTTTTATAGGAATTTTTTGGCATAAATCTCGGTCCGATGTAGTTGTCTCTGAACTTAAATGTTTGACAATTGTTTCCGATTTATTTCTATTGCACTTGTTAACTTAGAAGGAATTTCTTGCTTGATGTCCACAGCAGATTTCGTTATTTCATCGATCAAACTTTTCGTGCAGTTTATCTTCCATCTTTGTTACTGCAACGTCATTAAAATTTAGTTGTCGAGATACTTCATTTGTGTTTTACATGTACTACTTTGACTTCAGTAGATTGTTTTATTTCCCTTTGATAGATATTGGAGAGCATTTACAGCAATGGTAACAGCTGGAGTTTCCAATTGATCGCTTTGAAGACATCTTTGGCATCCTCTTTTTTAGGGCGACATTCCCCTCATTTTGATTGCTTATTTCTTCCTTTTCTTTTTCCATTTTTTCTTCTTTACTATTTGTTATGGGATAATCGCGTACATTGTTTTGGTTATCCTCTTTAATGCATCACAAGATTTGTTGTATCATGTGTATCACCAAGATTTGTTAATGGGAGGTCTTGTTCTATAGACTTGCCTTTCTCGCTCTCCGCTTCACCCATTATATTAAGCAATTAATTTGAATCCACTGCTCTGGCTACATCTGCTACTTCTGAACTTCTCCTACGACTGCTAGCTTCTGATGTAGATGCGAGGACAATAATGCAGCCTACATTTTTAAAAGTAACCAAAATTATTTGAAGTTTAATTGTTAAAAACAATCTTACTTTATCCTTGTCCAACGACGGATCCTTAACTGGCGTTGATGTACTGCCGCTCGCACCATTTTTAGTCCTTGATTTATCACTATTATGATGTACATCCCTGTGATGGTCACTTGAAGAATGAGGTTCGACTTTGATGAGCTGCTTCGTTCTGAAGAGCTTTTCGTAGATTTGTCCCTACTGTGGGAGCTATGTGATTTGTCTCGATCGCCTTTGTCTTTGGACTTTTTGTAACCGTCCCTTTCACGATCTCTGTCTCTGTCCCGTTCTCGTTCTCGATCCCGGTCTCTATCACGGTCACGATCACGATCCCGGTCTCTGTCTTTCTCTCTTTTTTCTTCTTTGTGTGATTTGTCTACAAATATTCAGTAAAAATCAAGAAAATATTCATTAGTGACTTCTATATTTGGCTTACCTTTGTCACCGCTTCGTTCCTTGGACAAGGCAATGTTATCCTCAGATGCTGTCGTTAATGATTTTGCCGACTTTGAATCTATTACTTGTCCTTTGGAAATATGTCTCCCTTCTTTGTCTCGACTACCTTCGTTGGATCTCTTTTGAGAATTTGTATCACAACTCCCATCTAATCCACGAGTATCTTCTGCTTTTACAGCGACTTTGTCTTTACCACCGGCAACATTTTGAATATTTATTTGGTATTCGTCGCTGACTCCGCTGCTTTTGTTTGTTGCTGCTTCTCCTCTTTTCCATCGCTCGTGTCAGTTGTTTTTTTTGCTCTTGCTGCTGCGACGTAGACGACGTCACCTGAGTTTCCACAATATTCGACATTGCGCGCCACTTCTTCCCTACGACGTTTTCGTCGGCACGTAGTAAATGCGTCAAACACACAACTAAACCTTTTGGGATGGCAAGCTTGTTGGTAAGTAAGTTGTTATAAGTTATGTACCAAAGCAAGCTAGCAGCGAAAAGAATAAAAAATCGATTTATTTTGACCGCCTCGGTCTCAACGCGGCATATGATATAGCGCGCAATTTATGACCGATATATTTTCTTTTTCTCTTTCACTGGAATTTTTCACCAAATCTTTGTTCCGTCCATTTGTTTTTGCTAAATTAAATATTTCCACTTTTTTCTTTGTAATACATTCTTTTCTTCTGCGTCACAATTCTTTGTTTTTCATCACGTCCACAAATGCATCGCGTTTCATTCTATATATCGAAAGTTAATTGCTGTACATTTTAATTCTTATTTTATATATATATTTTTTCAATATTTGCAATTAATTAGTGAATTATTTTACTTTTTAATTTTTGCAATTCTATTTCAACGCGTCGTCCATTTTACTAACACTAGGGATCCATAAGTCGACTTTCGGCTAAAATTCACAAAACGAAATTACCATAGAAAAGACCAAAAAGGAATTAGCATATAGAATGGTGTTCAAAACGGAATCAACATCTGAAAAAGATGCATAAAGCGGAATGGATCGCATAACGAAGGTAAAATGGAATTGAATTTAATCCTCGTACGAGTACTAAATTTATTTTTTAAAGTGGGTTCACATACCAATCTTTATCCGTTTTTATTCCGAAATTGAACACTTAAAATGGATAATCACGGTTTATC